ATGGGCTGCCAAAAGAACCAATAGATCTGTGTTGGAAGAAGTGCAGCCAGAATGCTCCTTGGATGCCAGGATGGCCAAACTTCGTCTCTCATACTTCGAACATATTGTCAGGAAGGACCAGTCTCTGGAGAAGGATATCATGTTTTGTAAGGTGGAGGGTTACAGAAAAAGAGGAAGACCCCCAGTGAGATGGATTAACAGGCTCAATCATGGCAACAACTGTCAGGTCGGCCCAGGACTGGGCAGTGTTTTGTTCTGTTGTGCATAGGGTCGCTATGTGTTGGTACTGACTTGATGGCACCTAACAACAACAATAACAATAGATATTATTCAATTTTACCTCTCAGAGTCATATACTTACATCTTCAATCATTATACTTACTCTCAATCTGTAATGAAGATACATCAGTTTTTCGACATGGAAGTGAGGGGAAATCAATAAGATCTGGGAGTGTGGCACACTGTTTTATTCCTGTCTGTAAGCAAACATGCATATTATTAAGATCTGGCAGAGTGACGCAAATAATGCATTTGTTATTTACATGAAGGTAAGCACCCCAAATCTGCATTTATAGCAATATATAACATGTTGCACTCCAGTTTTTCATTCCCCTTCTGGTAGCGTAGTGGTTACGAATTGGGCTGTGAACTGCAAGGTCAGCAGTTCGAAACTACCAGCTGTTCCACGAAAGAAAGATGAGGCTTTCTGCTCCTGTAAAGATTTGCAGACTCGGAAACCCTGTACAGAGTTGCTTTGAGTCAGAACCGACTCCACGGCACATAGCAACAACAATAGTTGGACATTTTACATACATACTTCAAAGTAAAATTTTATAATTATTAATTTTTTATCAAAATATAATTTTAATCTAAGACTTCTTGCCACAGCTATCAGTGTGGCACTGTGGGCTAATGCGTCAAACTGCCAAGTCATTTGAACTGCAAAGTTGGTGGTTCAAGCTCACCAGCTGCTCCTTTGAAACCCTATACAGGGTTGCCATGGGTCAGAATTGATTCAACAGCACTTAACAACAACAGTGATCAATTTATTTCTTTTTGTCTATCTTGAATTAATATTGACTATTTGTATTTGCTTATAAAATTGTCAGTTCTATCCCAAAGGATAATGGAAACCACCTAAATTAAAATCTCTTCACACCTCCTCTCAGCTACCATGAAAGAAAAGCAAACAAAATTACCCATAGCTCATGAAGAGTACAATGTAACTGGGATATAGAATTCTATATGTTTCACATTGGGGAAATAAATACCCTAGGCCAGCAAAGTGTGCTCAGAAGCTCACGTTTGATCAAAGAGTCATACGCAGAGAGGACTACACAGGTAACACAGTAGACATTAGCCAATCATGGTTTAGTCTGGAAGGAGAGGGTCCAGCCTAGACTGAAAAAATATTAAGGTATGGATGAGAACTGCTAGAACAAAGCATTTTCTATGAGGAATCTAAAAGGGACTTGGAAAACATGGGAAAGACAGAGCATAGTTGAAGGAGACAGTAAGCTGTATTGGAATCTGAAGGTGTCTTGAAGTCTTGGTAGTAAAGGGAAAAGATTAAAATGATCAAGATTAGCACTCTGATGAACTAAGTTAGTAGAAAAGAATCCAAAGAAAATAAAACCTATCCCCTAAGAAAGTCCCATTCATTAAGAAGAGGATATTCTTGCTCTAAGAAACGTAATAAGCCACCCAAACACAACTTCCTGTTCTTCTATAAGATAACTTATTGATGATTCAAAAAGTCCAATATAAAAAATATCTTAAAAATTACATAAGGGAAAAAACTAAAATAATGAGAATAATAACATGATCAACAAAAACTAGAATTAAATGGCAATCATGAAGCATAGAAAATATTAACAAAATCCTCCCAATATACAAGAAGGGGTTAAAAATTCATGGAAAAATGGAATGATTACAGAATTTTTCTGAATGATTTTATAATTTATAT